GGCCAAGGGCCCATCTGTGTCCATGTAAGTCCATCTTCCTGGATCTCAGAGGATCCCCACCAGATGCCTCTGGGAGCACATGAGACAACTACGTAGATTCCTCTCTCCTGATCCCCCTCACCTGCATCTGGCCTTTAGAGGGACTTTACTTCAAAGAGAAAGTCTTTGGAGGGACTTTCCTTTGACTTTCCCCATCATCATGGCTTGTATTCTGCGATGGACTTTTCCTCTAGGAATCTGTCCAATCCCCTTTTCAAGGCATCTAGGCCAGATGCCATCACTGCATCCTGTGGCAAGGGGTTTCACAGACTAAAGAAATGTTTAGTCTGGATCAAGAAATCTTTTCTTTGGTCTGTTTTCACTTTCCCAACACTCCATTGGCGTGGATGTCTCCTGGTTCTGGTATTGCGTGAGAGAGGGGTAAAGAGCTTCTCTCTATCCATTTCATCCACCCCCTGCATCATTTTAGATGTCTCAATCATATCCCCCCTACTCCTTGTGTGCTTTTTCTCTAGACTCAAGGGCCCCAAACGCTGTAGCCTTTGCTCATCAGGGAGGTGCCCCAGCCCAGTCACCCTTTTGAGTTGCTTTCTTCTGCACCTTTTCTAGCTTCTACGTTAGTCTTCTCAGGACCATGAGAATGGTTTTTTTTTGTATTCTACATGGTGTTTCAGAGTTCCTCTTAACACTGATCAATACTACTGCTAATAATGTGCCCTCGAGTCAATGTTGACGTATGGCAACCCTTTTCAATGTCTTCCAGGTGCAGAATACTCAGAAGCGGTTTCCCCTTCCCTTCTTCTGAGGGTGTCTTGGGACTGTGCAGCTTACCCAAGGCCAGCTTGCCCAGGCTGGCTCTACTCACAGGAAGCACAAACCTAGTGAGTCTAACCAGTTATACCAGTTGGTGTTATGCTGACTATTCACTTTGATGGCAGAGATTCCAAGACAGAATGAAAAAAAAACTGGCCTTAGGCATTGGCACCAACTCCCTGAATTGCTGCATCTGCAGGTGGGACAATGCATCAGCAGTGCTGTTGTCCAGCCCCAGCACATGCTTGGCAAGAACTAACACATCATACTGTCAACAACCCAAATAAACTCTCTAACTAATCTAATAACCCTGGCCAGCTTGGGAGACAGCTTGTTCATAATGTGGACAACTGACATTTTTTTCAGACCAAAAATTAACTAAAAAAATTGGCCCATGGGGTGCCCACAACCAAACTGCCACAACCAGCAGGAAAAACTCCAGAAATGTCATCTCCCCCATAATGTGAGACTCCAGCCACTCCTCAGGCTATTGTTCCAAGTACCATCTACAGATCTCTAAAATAAACCTCAAGACCAGCAGCCCCAGCAACATCTGACTGGACCTGAACCTCTCACCAAAATGAGATGCCATTGAAATTGTCTAAGAACAGTTTTTATACCCCGGCATCATCCCCCAGTGGCGGCACCCCCTACTGCTGACGAGCAAGGCAGTTACACACCCAGCTAGCTTTGTGTCCCACCAACATGTAAAGCTATGTGTGCAGTGTAGTGTTTTGTTCTTCCAGCACGTGAAGTGGCTCTGTGCATGTGCTGTCTTCTGTGCATGAGAACACCTCAGTTCAAGGAAAGATCCTAGTTGGCTTAAAAGGCCTCTCCTTTGAAGTGAATAACGTCTAGCCTACACAAGTAGCACAAGGCTCTTCCACCAGGTGGCCTAACATGGATTTGACAGGTGTATGAAAGATGTGCCCATCAGCAGTGCGACACCACTGCTATAGATCATCAAGATCAGCTCCTGTCTGGGAGGCCCAGTGGGGGAATCAAACTCCCAATCTAAACCCATGAGCTATTTATTATGCATTTGGAAAGTGCCAGGCTGGGAAATGCCACCCTAATGTGGGGGATTTTAACGACCGGTGCAATTATATTCTGCCACTCCTTTCTTTCATCTCTTCCCTTCTCTTCACATGTAATAACACTGTAATCTCATTACAAAACATGAAGAGGAAAGGAAAAGAAAAAGGTCACAGTGTCATTTTAGTGCATGATTTCCAATCTTTACCCAACATTAAAGCAAAGCAATGAGTGCGGCTTACAGACTGCCCCATAGTACAGTGGTGCCTCGCATAGCGAGGTTAATTGGTTCCAAAAAAAACATCGCTATGGGAAAACATCGTTAAGTGAAACGTGTTTTCCCATAGAGATGCATTGAAAACCGGATAATCCGTTCCAATAGGAACGGATTATCCGGTTTTCTCCCCCACTATCGGGCGCAGCCCTTTGGGAGAAGCCTCGGGGGAGGGGGGGAAGACGGCATCGGCTCCTGCCTTCTCCCCCACTGTGAG